TCGGATTCATTGAAGGAGTGGTCTTTGCCGGTCCCGGGACATGTGGCTGGGTGGTTGAGTGGCCTTTCCGTGTGGATCCAAACGGAGCCGAATGGACTTCGGAGGGGTGGGGGGCGATGTGGGTTGGGGGTGGTCACCAGTCATCCCTTGAGACAGGAGTAGTTCCGGAGGTGGGAGTGGGGCCTCGCCCATGGAGTGGGGCCTCGCCCATGTTTTGCCTGGACTCCGTCAACGTCTGAACCGACTGAAGTGTGGAAGTTCCCGCACTCAGGTCTTTGACTCCGGTGAATCGGGCGGGTGTTTACCTGGCGAACGGGACTTGCCCAACGAACGCCAGGTGGAGATGGATTCGATGCATTTCCACTTGGAGGCTGAAGACCTGGAGATCTTTGAGGAGTGGCGACCGTCTTCGACGAACGAGGAGGATGGGGAACTTCTGTCTGAGGACGACGTGCTTGACTCTCAGGCAGGGCAGATCGGGGCAGAAAAAGGGCAGTTCAGTGGGTTGAGGAAGAGCTTCTTCCAGGAGTCACAAGATGTTAGTCCCATCCAGTGAGTGGATGTTCTGGGCACCCCTATCCTCCAAGCTCGGCACCCCCGTCTTGTGACTCCTGGTTTTCGCTCTATTTTTAGCGGCTCCGGTCTTGGGACGAGGGGTTTGGCAAGGCGAAGCACCAAGCTGTCACTCGGAGAGGTCTCGTTTTCACTGAAAATGCCTCCTCTAAAAGCCACGGAGAAAGGCACCAAAGGCGCCAAAAAAAACGGCACCCTCTTGCAAGGGTAGCTGGTCAGAAGCTCATGCTCGCTCATGCACACGGTCCGAAAGAACGTTCATCAAAAGTTCCAGTTCCATGGAGGTTGGGTGCCTCCTGGAGGGACTCACCACACCCTTTTTCGGTCTTAAAACAAGTTCCTGTCCAACAGCACAGGAACTGGTCCAAACGTCTTGCTTCGCACACTCACAAAGGCTGCAGGTGTTCACGCGTGGCGGGGTTCCCGTGTTTTCACCTCGCCAGGCGCAGGATGTGAAAGGTCGAGGTCGAGAAGCTTCAGGATGTTCAAGAGGTTTGACCAACACTGGGAGATGCTTTGCTTTGCACCAAAAGAACACGGAAGAAGAGCTTCTTCTTCAGTGAAAGAAACATAAAGTAATACAAAAACAAAGAGGGGCAGTTGCAGTTCTTTTCTTCCCCGCTTTTGACATGCACGTATTCTTTGTGATCTTACGGATGTATCATGCATCGCGAGACCAAACGGGCACTCCGAGTTTCCAAACAGGACATAGCTGGCAAGCACCACGCGGCCGAAGCACACCTCTGAGCCGCACGCAGAAATAGCTTGTAAATAGATGTCGACACAAACCACGGTGGACCGGTGGATTGGAGAGTTTGGAGAAGCGAACAGTCAACGGGCCTATAGGGTACTGAGCAAACCATGGATTGTGCCGAGAACGGCACCCAGACCTCGAGTTTCGTTGGCGCGAATGCCACCCATTGTCTGGGTCCAAAGCGGCGCGCGGGCGGACCGGGCCGTTCCGGGAGGTCGAGATGGCGAGTCGTTGCACCTCCAAACCGAAGGGGTTGGGTCATGTCGAAGAGACCCAGACACGACGACCCATGGGACTGCCATAGGACTGCCGCCCCATTGACCCCCCAAAGTAACCACCACCCCTGGCCTGATCGGCAGTCCTATGACAGTCCCATGGGGTGTCTGGGATAGAGGAATCACGAGGAATCCATTCCTTTTGACCCCGTGGTCTCTTTTTGGAGGGCCCCCCTTTTTTCGATCGACTGGTCTGGCTTCATCTGGCTGGGGCTGGGGCCGTTGGAGGGTGCTGGTGTGGTTCTTCGACCGCGGCTCCTTTCGGCTCCTTATAGACTTGGCTGACCTTGTCAGAGGAGTCCAGGACTCAGCGGCTTTTTGTCACATCTTTAGATCATGATTGAACCGCCACGGCCACAGCTAGTCGCAAGCCGACTCGAGCATATTATGCTGAAAGGTGGGTTTTCAGGTTGTTTTCTCTCCAACCGCCAGCCTTACTGCTTGCACCAATATATTCACTGCCATCCACAGCCCAGTTTAAAGCATCACACATCAAAAATCCAGAATCCTTGAACTTGGACGCTCCAATGGAGGGGGGGTGCACACTCAAAAACCTGAACCACGTGTGGGGGCCCACTTCCCGGCTTGGACACTGTCAGTCCCGACGCCGTTCACGCCGTTCACGCCGTTCACGTGCCGAGGTACATGCGCCATGCCCTAGGGCTTTTGGACCGAAGAGTGCGCTGAGCAGTGGGGAGTTGAGACAAGACGTCTGGCTACAGAGTTTCATGTAGGCTCTGGAGAAGTAGAAAGCTTCCCCCAACTATGAAGAGGTCGTGAAACATTCAAATGGGGGGATCGTTCGATTGTGGGGGGAGGATGGGGGAAGTATAAATGAAGAGTCTACATGATTTCGAGGATTTCTGGTTAGGCCAGGCATGACCCACATCTGCTTCCTTTTTCGTCTTCCATGAAAAGGAAACGCCATTGAGACGACCTTGAAACGTTGGGTCTTCACGGTCTTTTGCGATTTTCCCCTTGCGACCCGTCTTAGCAGGAGAGATGTCCGTCCGCTGGGGGTCTACCACAACAGTCATGGTCGATGGCAGGTGTTCAGCTTGAGGTTGTCAAGAAAAACTGCGACCCTTGCAGCCGTCGCCACTGCAGAATTACTGGCGACTTGGACTGCAGAATTACTGGAGTCGAGAGTTCCCGGAAGACACATGTCACGCAACCTGTGTTTTTTGGATGTTTTTGGGCCTCCCAAAGGCACCAGAACCCACTTTGAGGGGATTTTAAAGAGGATTCTCCTCTACAAAATGGGGAACCAGGGATGTGCTGGGTGCTTTCGGACGTGCTAATCTCTTGAACCCCCCCAAAAAATTGATCATTCTGAGTCTGAAGGGCTTCTGAGGTTTCTGAGTCTTTGAGGGTTCTTCCACCCTTTCTTTTCCCTTTGAAAGGGGGGCGCCTTCCCAAAACACCTTGCGGCTCGGGAGAGCTTGGCCGCCCCGGGGCCCCGTTCTTCCTCTCCGCCACCCCGTGGCCACGCTGCCAGTTGGGGCCCCGGCGCGTCACCATGCGAGCAGCACCTGAAGGAGGAGTGAGTCAGTTGCCCGGGCGTCCCAGGTTGGCGGCGTTGGCACCGGAGGCGTCCGCACCACGTCCGACTCAGCCCCGACCTGTCCAAGAAACTGTTGGGGGGGGCGTTTTGAATCAAGCGTCTACATTAGACTAGACCTGGGGAATCAACATACCAAGAAACCGTAGTACATGAGAGAAAGACGATCTTTTTCAGGAGAAGACGCTGTTTTCCAAAATGTATGTTTTTGGATCTGGCAGCACGCACCTGAATTTCGGACACAAGTCACCAGTCGACCTCACCAAGAACACTTTTCACCAGGAACCAAAGTGAGCCTTCAACATGCAGCTGTGAATCTAAGAACTTTCAATTTGCATTTGGTCGGCAGGGATGCAACAAAAACTATTTTTAGTATACGGGTTAGTATGGTTTAGTACAGGTTCCGTACGGGTTAGATAAATATGGGTTCTCAAAACACAATGTTGTTTGTGGGAAGATGGACAATATGGGTTCGGTATGTTTCATTTTTTTTACCGGTTTAAGTACGAGCAAGCTGTGATGCGGGGATACAAAGAAAGGAAACCGGTGTTCCTGATGCTTTGTTGGTCAAGTCACCCTCCATTTGTGCCCCGGTATGCGGTCTATTTAAAAGACCAGCTAGCAGATGGTTTCGAATGGGAAGAATGGTCGACACTTGACTTATGGATCCATAAAGACCCTTGGAGACAGGCAGGCACGGGAGACAAGCAAGACAGGGGGAAGAACAGGTGTTTCTTGGTGGCGCTTTCGGGCTCGACTCTTCAGTGGCTTTACCAAAAGACGAGGTCTTTCGAGGCAAGATGATGTTCCCATCTCTTCCCCTGAAAAAGCGAGGTTTCATCCTAGGAGCCTACAAATTGTTGGTGTTTTGCTTCTCTATAGGTATATTAATACATTTACACATATTAAACACTGTTTTTCTTTATGTTCAGCACTTCGATAGCTCCGACTGTACCAAGGCCTCGACTGTATCATGATGTGAATGCAGCTTCCTCAGTTCGTGCGTTCGATGAGGAGATGTGTCGAATTGTGTTCGAATCAGACGGAACAGATGCACAGACTGCTTGGGTCTAAGGTCAATCGACCGCGGGAGTATTGGGACTATGAGAACCTGTCGGTGAATTGGGGGTCGAGAGCTTAGAGTCATGTGATCCAGATGGTAAAAATAGGTGTGAATCACGAAGGAAGAGAATACAAACACCGTAGACGGATGTGCCAAATACCGTACACTCCGAATTCAAACATAGCAGTGCATGGTGTGGAAGACATGGGAAGACAATGGAAGAAGATGACCGAGTAGGGGAGTTTCCAATGGTTTCATTGGAGTCGGAAATAGCTGTGGGTCAAAACTCCGGCCCCTGGTTGACCCCTGGTCAAATGAACAGATTCCTACCATGGCTTGGTGGGGAGGTTTTGACTCACAGCCAAATGGTGGGCGCTGAAGTCGCTGTCAGCCCACATAGGGTGAGCATGCCCGAGCTTCTTCACAATGATCCTGCAATTTCAGCAATGACGCCACCTGAGTTGCAGATAGGGATCTTGAACAAAAGTGTCAGAACCCGCAAAAATGCAATGTCATGATCCATTCTTGCCAAAAAATGTTATATACTGTCGTCACAGACGGTTCCTTCATGTTCCTGCCGTCTTCATGAAAAGAGAACCTCTCTGCCAGGTGCCAAGATGACTACGAGGTTCTTCGCAAAGTGGGCAGAGGCAAATACAGCGAGGCACCCTTCTTCGCGGCTCCGCTTCTTCGCCGCTTCTTCGGGCGGTCGTCGGGTGAACATCCGTTGTGTGGATGTGTTGATGTGGCCTCGAGGTCTTTGAAGGCATCCACATGGCTTCGCAAGAGAAGTGCGTCATCAAGCTTTGATCTGAGAAACGTCCCTTCCTGTACGTGTTCTTCGATGGAAGATGCCGGAAAACTCGCCTGATGTGATGCCATGTTCCCTTGTCATGGACGCAACGGAATGGGTCTTCCCACCTTGGAGGCTCCACCCAGGATCGCCATGATGACTTCATGTCCATGTTTGGCGCCAAAAAGAACCGTCCGAGAAACCGTCGTGTTCTTCCATCCGGCGAAAGATCATCCTTGGCTCCAAAACCGTGGTCAGTACCGTTGTGCCAAGGATTTTGAAGCCAGTGAAGAAGAAGAAGATCAAGCGCGAGATTAGGAGCGGGGAAAGTTCCGACCCGCCGGTCTCCGGTCTCCGCCTCTTGAGTCCGTTGTGCGGCTGCTTCCGGTCAAGCTGCGGGAGCGGGAGCGGTGGCGACGCGGGATCGCTGCGACGGTTTTCTCCGTCCCGGACTGGACCAGATTCCTGAAAAGCAGGGAGCAGACCAGAATTCTACTGGATACTACTGGTGTAGTAGACTTGGTTCTTGGGGATCTGCTTATTGTAATGTCGACACCGGATCAAGCACCCCCCCCTTCAAGGTCAACTAGGTCAACAAGGTTTGGGATTGGAGAGATTGGAGACCACATCCCCCTAATAAAGGTGATGAGCTGATGATGGATGATGAGATGATGACAAGATTAGGAAAGATTGGGAGTGGGATGGTTAGAAAAGAGATGAAAGAGATCGGAAGACAAGATTCTTTCATTGATTGGGATAATTAGGAAAAGAAAGAGGATTGCAGGATGAAAGAGATTGAAGACAAGATGGAGGCCAGAGGGTGGGCTTGATTAATAGGGGGAGGGCCCCACTATTAGAGGGAGGTAGGGCCTGCGTGAGGGGTACCCTTTGTGAGCTTGAACACCTTAAGATGTTGATAGAGCTTTAATAAGGGACAACGAAATATTTTTTCTAGTGAGTCTTTTGTGTTATAACAGGGAAGGATGAGAAGAACAACAAGCAGGATGAGAAGCGGAAGGAGGATGAGAATGATGTTGACATATGTTGACCATGGACCAGAAGATATTGGATACTGCCCAAAAAGAAATTAGATAATCAAGAATTCATTCTGTATCTATATAACTATATTTTTCTGGGGGAGCTGGGCTTGGAGGTTTCTGCTAGGAAACATATTCGGGTGATGTACCAGGGTTTAAATTAGTTTAGTATTGGGGGCTCGAGCTGGGGCTTGATTAATAGGGGGGAGGTTACTTAATCCTCTGTCAACACTATGGACTGCAGAGTATCATAATTCCAAGAGCATGATTGGCCATGAGCTTGCACTGGTTGCCTTCACAACCCACTTGCATTGAGGACCCAATCGTCCTGTGTAGAACACCCAGCAACCCGAGGACTTTCCAATACCTCCCTAGTTCATCGAGCACATGAAATAAGCATTGATGTGGGTCAAACTATAGGCCTATAGCCCAGAGAGAGAGAGAGAGAGAATCACATTTTTGGGTACAAGACGCTTAGACCCACAGCCATATTCATGTCCATATTCATTCTTGATGTTACTCGACCACGAGAGCCAACCGCAACATCAGCCTCATCACCAACCCATCTGCCAGAAAAAGACAAAAAGACACCGAAAGCACACCGAAAGCACACCCCGTGCTCCATAATGTGGGTCTCTTCCGCACCATGTGGGTCTCCAAAAGCCAGTCCAAGACACATCGCAGGATTCTTCAGAACCTCTACGGTGGTCCCAACATCGTGAAGCTTTTGGACGTGGTGCGTGATCCCCAGTCCAAGACACCGAGCCTGGCCCGGTGACCCAGCGGCCCAGCGGATTGGTGTTGAAGAGCTGAGCTGAAGCTTTGCCGAAACATGTTGGCTGGTTGGAAACTTGAGAACAGAGGTGCTCTTTTGACTATGAGATTGAGAGCATCCTTTATCGAGCTGACTTTTCAATTGGGTTGTCAGCAAATCTGGGACTTCTTTCACTTCTGTCCCTGATATTTGTTTGATGGTGGTTGCTCGATTCCGCTTGATTCCGCTGAGATCTTCGAGTACATCAACAACACCGACTTCAAGCAACTCTACCCAACCCTCACCGACCACGACATTCGGTACTACATCTTTGAGATTCTTAAGGCCGATCTGAGCGAATTGAGTGGAATCTCAACGCGGGAACTGAGGCGAAAGGGAAAGCTCTGCATCGAACTCAAAGGATTTCTGCTATCGAATTGGTAAAATGTCCTGTGTTGCTATGACGAACCACATCAATGGCTTTTGCCGGAGTCCACCCACCCATACTTGCTTTGTGTCTTCTTCTCCTTCAGAAGTAAAGCTTTCTCCAAGCACGTCTTTTCGCTTTCTCCACTACTAGTGGTACGGTACGAACGGTACGAACGTTCTTCGTGGCCAGGCACTGGACTACTGCCACTCTCAGGGGATCATGCATCGGGATGTGAAGCCGCACAATGCACCTCGCCTCGGTGGTGAGTCGTCGGCTCGCCGGACTCGCCGTTTGGGCGGTGGTGGAGTCGTCGCACGGCCGTGTGAAAACACACGGCGGTGACCATACTGTAATCACTTTCTTCTCAGAAAAGAACACATCTGGAGGCTCCTGGAGGGCCTGGGAACGAGCCAAACAGGGGGCCTTTCAAGGCATGCAGAACAAAACCATGATACCATGGCATGTGTTCGAGGGTCGCTTTGCACTCTGCGTCGCTTGGATCAGAACGCCTCAGTTCTCTCCTTTGTGCCAGGTGGGTGGGGCAAAACATCCTGCCCTAAGAATCTGGGTGTTTTTTTGGACTGGAAAAGGGCTCAGTTCGGCTCTGGACTCCGAACAAGATTCCAATGACTTGAGGGTGGGGGGGAGAATTTGCTGCTACGCCCTGGAAGATGAACGAAGCTTCATAGCACTGGGCTGGAAGACCCCAGTCTGGTCTTCCAGTTGGGTTCACCTGTCTTCCGACCATGTGATCCGCGCCGACCTCCGCCGGGATCAGGTCATGATCGACCACGAGAATCGGTCGCTGCCTCAGCGGCGCGGCGGGACGTGTGGGCCCGTGTGGCCACGTGGTGGTGGAGGTGGTGACTGGAGGTGGTGACAAGCCTTGATTGTTGGCCTATACAACATGCAAAACCACAGACCATAGGAACGATGTGGTGCTATGTATGATGTGGAATCTTCATTTTGCCTCGTTGGGATCCAAGAGACCACTTCGGATCTTCGGGTGATTCTGGATGTGTTACAATGTTGCAACAATGCCCAGTTTCAGGACTGCGCTTTCTTGCACACCTGCATGCACCAAGTGTGCAATGGCTGGAACCAATGGACCCCCCTGGCCGGAATGGCCATTCACTCCAAAACCGCCATCTGCCAGTGCCCTGTTCTTTCCACAGAACCCTTAACCCCAACAGTTGCGACTGGCAGGATTCTTTCAGCCCACATCTCTTCAGTCGCACTACGTCGAAACAACCATGGTCGTTGGATCCCACACCTCTTCTGGCTCGACCGGAACGGGGGGTGTTGCTTTCACGCCCACCTTCCTTCCAACCTTCCTTCCACTTTGTTCTCTGCCCCCAGGAAGTTGCGACTCATCGACTGGGGCCTAGCTGAGTTTTATCACCCTGGTCGGGAATACAACGTTCGGGCTCGGCCCCTCAGAGCGGAAACCTCCTCGGTTCAACCGAGAGAGCATTGCACGAACCGAAATTGGAGCTGCACTGGAGCTGAGCCGGTAGACCGAGCCGGTAGGTAGCTGTTGAGGCTGTTGATATATATTTGTATAGAGCTAGGGAATTACCTGTAACAGTCAGTAAACAATTATCGTCATTTTTGTACAAGGCCTTTACTAACCATCATCATCCACTGTTACAGGTATTAGGATAGACCCAATATAGAGCATTATAGAGCTGTATGGAGCTGTGCTGCTGATACTTGTTTGAGTGAAGTTCTTGGTGATGTTGAATCAAGAACCTGGCTGAGGCGCACACGTTTTCTTACTGATTAGGTTGTGCTGGTGTGCCGCGGAAAAACGCGTGGCACACGTCTGTTGCATCTTATCTTGAGCAACCGATGTGGAACAAGGGCTCGAAACTTCCTGGGAGCCTTGCCGAAAAGGACCAAGGAGAGCTCCAAACCGCGGTATTTAGCGGTGTTGCCTTTCTCGGCGCAGGTGGCCTCCCGCTACTACAAAGGTCCGGAGCTTCTCGTGCTGCCCTCAGAAGATGGATGAACTATGATGAAACTTTGGCTTTTCTTGCTCCTAGTAGTAAGGCCAGGAGCCCCGAAACTTTGGCGCCCCTTGCTCCGTTCGAGTCGCGATGCCCCAACTTGTTTCGTAGCGGTAGCGTTCTTGTTACTGAGAAAGGTCCATATCTTTTGTGACCTGATCTTGGAGAATCGAGTCCGACTCGAGTCCGGCAGGTGGACTCCACCACCCTCCAGTCGTCGAGTCGTGGGTGTAGTAGATCAAATGGTCCTGGAAGACTCTTAAGATTCACATGGTTGGTGGCCCCTCCCCAAAAATGCTCCTCCCACCCCTGTTTGTATTCTACATTGCAAAACCTTCTCCAAGAGTCAAATTTGCCTTAAACCTGAAATGCATCGTCTTCTTTCGTGACAGATTGATTGCTAGGCCGCCAGCGGCAGTAGAACAGTCTCGAAGTGGTTTTGCTCTCATTTTGAGACCAACCAACTACCTCCGCGAGGTAGATTTGCAGCTCTACGACTACTCCTTGGACATTTGGAGCTTGGGCTGTATGCTTGCCGGAATGGTGCGCCAGAATGGTGGGGCGATCTGTCGAACGACATGTTTCGACCGAGAAGAACCAACGTGTCATTTTTTCGTAGACGGACCCTGACTTTGACTCTTTTCAATCCCCCATAATGTGCTGTCTGACCATGAGTGTCAGCAGTGCCGTGGACCTCCGTCCTAACAGGGGACTTCGTTCAGGACTGCGCGGGTGGTGCTGGTGAAGAGGTTTTACAATGTTTTACAATTCAAATGGGTTCAGAAAGAGTCTACATTACATTCCATCGGGCAGCCATGGGGGTCTCTTTTGAGAAATCAATTCAGGGAAAAAGATTGAATTCGGAAAAAAGTAACTCGGAGCTTCAATGTGCTTCTCCTTTCATCTCAATTCCCTTCGCCCACGTGATTTTTTTTAAAGACTAGAACCCGTGCAATCGTGTGCAGGTTTTTCGAAAAGAGCCCTTCTTCCACGGCCAAGACAACTATGATCAATTGGTCAAGATAGCTCGCGTGCTGGGTTCGGGGACCTCAGAAACCCACGGGCGGTGGGGCGGTGGGGCGGTTTGGTCCACAAAAGTGCACGGAAGCATTCAGCTTGCGAAAGTTAGTAAGGGGATGAAATAGCAAGGACAACTCATGGAGGATTAGTGCGGAAAGCAGGATGATCTCACGATTTTGAATGTATATACATATATATATATATATATATATTCGTTTTTTTTGAACAGGCCCTAAAGTGACTTTGCTGACTATGTTTACTAATGTCATGTTCCACCACCTGCGTTGCATGAGAAAGGGCTAGGGGAAAAATTTGCTCTTCTCTCACTTTTGACGTTCGCTGAGTCGTTTTGTCATGGCCGTCTTGTTGTCAAATGGCTGTGCAACATGTCACCCTTTAGCCTTGCCGTCTTTGAGGCACAGATGGTTTGTTTGCCTACTTGGACAAGTACAACCAAGAATTGGATCCGCACTTTGACCATGTCCTTGGAAGGCGCCGCGGATACCGCTTCGCCCACCAACAAAGCTAAAGCGATGCATTTTCATGCGTCAGCCGCGTCTGATCAGACCTCGTCTGATTTCAGGGGCAAGCATACACATGTCTGAGCGGTACTGTAGCCGCTTTTCCGGCGGGGGGTGGAGGAACGAATTGCATCAAGGATGATAGCCTCTGAGCACTGAAGAGACGTTTGGTGAAGTTAGAGATGCTGGCCTGCGCCAGGAGGGTCTGGGGAAGCCAGGGTTTTACCTGTAAGAGTTGGGATCCACAAGAATCACTATTTCTAGAGATGGAAAGGCCTGCAACTGAACCACCACCACCGGCATCATCATCGCCGTCGTCGTCGTCATCATCATCCACCGAAGCCTGATAATTGGATAGACCGATATATCCGATAAACCCAAAAGATATGCAATGCTGCAATGCGGATGATCTCAGATTGCTTTGGATGCAGTCAAAAAAATGGGGATGATGAGAGCGAAAAATGATCAAGAAACCTGCTGGCTTTCTAACGAAGTGGTCACTTTTTGCTCGAACATATACCAACAAGCAAAGCCATGCAGCAGACTGTGTGGGACAAAAGCCCCCAATTAGAAACAATATGAAACAATCAAAGGCCAAACGTGTCTCAACTCATGCGATGATGCAGCAGTGCTTACCAAGTAGCTTGCTCTATGAACTATCAGTGTATCTTTGATTTATTTGGAGATTGAAAGAACCTCACGTTTGGTCACGACCTGAAGCCCTTTATCGAGGACCTGCCCAAGGTTTCAGGAGCTGAACGGAACATTCCGGTCATGATCTCAGGACAATCGCCCACATGTCTAGAATAGAATGCATCAAACCAGCATAAACCAGCTGTTTAACTCCCAAACCGGTGATCTCTAAAATCCCTGCATGACCAGACTGGTCGTTGTCACGGACTGTTTCGGATCTCCTCGGAGCCCGGGTCGGGTCGCGGCGGCTCCGAACCGAAAGCAAAGAACCGAATGTCGGGCCAAACGACCGAGTCGGAAGTCACCAGGCAAGCGAGGCTAGCGTTGGGTGCTATGACCCACTGCCATTTGATGGATCCCCTTCCATCTCCTGGGTTTTTCGCTCGTCCAAATGGTCGACTCGTCATGTCCGGGCAGAGCTGATCATCCACGGAAACGACTTCTTTGTTCGTCTTTAGAAGTTGATACTTGAAGATGACAACACAAGTTTTGCCTAAGATCTGATCCGCCAAGCCAGTTAAGCTTCGTTCAGCCTGTTCGGTTCGCTTTGAAGGTGCACATGTTGTTGTGGCCTCAACCGGACCGTGCACCAGCGTGTAGCCTCACGTGCAACCGCTCGCGGCTGCGCAGGCACTCCAGAAAGGCCTGGTCGAAATTTGTGACTTCCGAGAATCAGCACTTGGTGAGGCGCAGAACTCGTCCTGGGTGTGAACAAATGAACAGTCTGGCACCATGTGCAGCAGTGTTAGAATTGGTCTATCAGGCAGTGTTAGAATTGGTGTCCAAGAGAACATTTAGAGGAGATTAACCTCCTAATACTCCTATTCTTTTTGGAAACTCTCAATTACAATCATTCGAGAAAGGTCTTCTGCGGGTTTTCGGTTTTCCGGGAAAGCCCTGTCAGTTTGGATGTGCTGGACCTCATAGACAGAATGCTGGTCTATGACCATGCTCAGCACTTAGCAAGCTGCAAGTCGCTTGATATATCTTGATAACAAGGCACGAACGTCTCACTTCAGGAAAGCTTGTGACCCAAAACTGGCTAACAATGAGGAAGAGTGGAGGTTCACACATTTGTTCACATTCATGTGCGCCGTGTTTGTCCCCTGTCCCCACATCCCATTTCTGCCCGTCTCTTCGTCAACGGCTCCGTCCTTTGTCTTCCGAGGCTCAGCGAATTTTGCCAAAAGAGGCTATGCAACATCCCTACTTTGCCCAGATTCGGGTGCGCACCCATTCCGCCGATGTGGTGTGGCCGGTGTGGAGACATGGGGAGACCGGGTAGACACCCCTTTCTCAGCAGAGGTCCACATGGACTCCCAGACCCAGACGGTTGATCTTCGGTTGGGTTCCGTCCCATATCCTTTGCGGGGATGTGCCTCTTCCGTCGGTGTCCTCTTCCGTTCAGGGTTTAGATGTGGCCTTTTTTCGAGCAGCGGCATCCTTTGACGTTTTTGGACGCTCCCACGTGGGGGCTCATGGTCTAACACCTCTTGGAGGCCAAAAGGATAGATAGACTGAGTCAATTTAGATGAGTGATCTGGTCATTAAATAACATCAAAAGGCAATTGGACATAGGGAGACCTCCCAAAGACCCCCCCCTGCGATTTTCAGGAATCTCAACCGAAACCGGTGGGTTGCTTGGGGTCTCCATATTGAAATACACATAATATAAATACAAGACCATACAAACCCCCATTAACTCGTTCAATCATGCCTCCCCCACATGATGAATTGAACAGCAAATGACACAGAGGACCTCTTTCAGAGCACTCGGTGTAGAGTCTATCAACAAGTCTGCAATAAAGGTTTCTTGAATCGTTTGACAGTGCGACGGAGCTGTGTACGACCTGGGCTGTGAACGAATCCTGAGATAGCCCAGCCGGACCAGGTTTGGATTCGGTTGATGTACACATCTTGAGTCCAGTATTCCAGTAAACATTTCTTTGTACAAGGTTGCTGCACGTCCATTGGCTACATTTAGAGTCCAACATCAATTTGTATGAGGTTGCTGCAAATCCCGCGGCGACCTGCCAGGAGGCAAGCCCAAAAACTGCTCAAGCTGAGATGTCAAAGGCATAGGCCCTAGGCCCCAAATTCAACTCTTCGGCGGCGCGCATTCACGCGGCGCGCATTGGGAGTACAGGCTCCAAGTGATCTGTTTGCCAAATGCCGGCAGACCAATCGAGTGATGCGAGATGCGAGGTGCGAACAAAATGGCTCCGTTTTCCTTTTTGAGAAAGCTGGCTCCTTCTAGACGTGGAGAAAATGAGAGAATGAGAGAATGGAGGCACCAGAAAAGAAGCTCTCTTTGTGTCTTCAGGAGTGACCTGCCAAGTTCTGAATTTGTTGATGTTTTCTGTCTCATCTTCTGAGAGTGTGGGATGTTCATGAGTGACAATCTTTGGGTAACTAGACGAGACCATCGCTGGTGCGGCCCATTTTCGCTCTTCTCCTTCGAAAAAGCATTCTGAAAGGTAGCAAGAATAGGGAGAGGGCTTGAGCCATCATGTGGTGCAACAGTATACTCATGTATACTCTATAACATCCAGATTCCCATGATTTGTCCAAGTCTTTGACTTATTTACTTCCAAATTGGCAATTCATAAGAAGTCCATATCAACCCCCAGAACCACAACTCTGCGTGTATTCCCATGGAAAAACAGCCAGATCCTCAGACATGGCAACGTAGAACTTCCAACGCAGAAAACACAACGCCAAGAGTGCGTTTGCACGGTGCGGACGGTTCCCGCCTTGCGTGTCTCTGATTTCAGGCGCGTCCCGAAATGGTGTCCGTGGTCCAAACAGATCATTGCACAGGACTCTTCTAGAGAATCTGACTTCCTGCACTTAGAGAATTCCAAAAGGAATTGAATATGTGGAAGAATCATTCGTTTTGCACGGTAGATACACCATAAATCACAGCTGTTGGGCTATGTCTTCGCTATAGGGCTATATCTACTTGTGTCTTGTTCATCTACGAAGCTAAATACTGGATTATGTTATACTGTGCACTTACATTAAGTGTTCTCCATTGCCATCAGTATGGGTATGAGTTCTCTAAACTGAGCAATCTAAACTTTACTGATGATATCGATATACGGACATGTTCATCAGTATCCATTAGCATTCTGAGCATAAGTAAGATATCAAAACATTCAGAGGGCTGGTGCAATGTTAAGGTAACAATACCATTGATTTGTTGTGGCATTCTTTGCATTCTGAGCAGCCTTGATGGTTGTCACTGTCTATAACAACTGAAGCAAGGATATTAGTTAATACAACAGCATGCTCTTGAGAGGTTAGATGAGCAATACTGCTGAGAGTACTCTCTGAGTTCATGACTCTGCTCAATCAGTTTACACATCACAAGATAACTCGCATAGCTAAGGAGCTTTACATGCACAGTAAGCTTGACATGTAGGAACCTTACCTCATATAGAAAGTAATTGCAAATTCGATATTGCTTTCAAAAGTCTACGGTCAAGAGGACTATGTATGCATATCTTGCCGGTTGTGAGCTGGTTTTTTAAGGTTTCTTTTTCCTCTTTCAGGCACATCCAATTTCAGCACTTCCAGAATCATTCTTGCGACATTGGTTTTCCTTTTTTTGTAGTAGTATTCTTTGCCTTTGCATCCAGCAAATCTTTAGGTATAAGGACATGTTGCTATCAATTAGTAGATTCTTTTTGGATTCAGATAGCCTGGGGTCCCCCAGTAGCAACTACTACATTTTGACTCATGTTAAATGTATTTTCGGGAAGATTTCAGGTAGTGGGCCAACTTTAGCAACGACTATTGGATTTGTAGCTTTGGTCTTTAGCTGGACATTTCTGAGGAATCTTGGTTCTTAGTTCCAGGCCAGAGCTAGTTAGAACTAGTTCTTGTCGACCAGAGCATTTCATATACACTTCTAACATGTAAAGAATATGCTAATAGTTTCCTGGAGTTCTCTAAGTACAGGAAGTCAGATTCTCTAGAAGAGTCCTGTGCAATCTATAGCTTCTTACTTCCAGAAAGTTTTACTGTAACACTTCTCACTTGCAAATGTTTTACAATCCTATCCTACTGTCCAAATCAAAATTGACAGGCTTCGCCAACCGGCGATGCCCTGGGGGCACTGCGCGTATCCGCAGGGTCTTTGCACAACAAAATGGACGATTAGCACAGCTTCTGACGCCTGCGCATACACACTCCAAGACAGGTGTGCGCACGAGGGTCTGATGTAAAAAGCCTGGCAACCTCAGCTTCAGACACACG